CTACATTGTAGAGGATTCCTCCCTGCCGCACCTCTGGACGTGCTGTTGGGGCGGGCTGGGCGTTTCGCTGGATGACCTTTGCTAATTCCAACGTTTACGCGGATGGAACACAGGTTGTTTTCAAGATCTGGTTTTCGCCTTGGGGTCGTGCACACTCGTCTTGAACACATCATCGAACAGTTACACTGACTGAGGGCGGCTCGTCTTCAAAATTGCTCTCCCACCTGAAACTTCCATGGATCGTAGCACAATTCTCGTGAAAGTGTGCGACTCTTACATGGATGGAGGGCAGATTCTCATCAACACGGAGCTCTCGCTGGACACTTCCTTGAGCGGAGTATGAGCCTACCTCTGCAAATTTCGTGGCTGGAAGGATGGAAGGTGAATCTTTCATAAGCGGGGTCTCGTCTGAATGGCAGACCCGTCAGGCGTTCGTCCGTCAAGGGGGGCGATTCCCGCAGAGGAAAGACAAGAAGGGACACATGGGGAAGGGACTCATACTTGAAGGGACTTGGAGGAGGCCGTATTGCAGCATCGTTGATGCATCCTGGGCTTATTCCGGCCTTAGGTGCAGCGTGCGGCGATGCACCTTGCGACGGTGCAGCGGTGCAGCGTGCGGCGGTGCAGCGTGCGGCGGTGCAGCGTGTGTCGGTGCAGCCGCACCCCCACCCAGGGACTACGTAGTTCTTGGGTGGGGTGCGCCAGTTTGCTTGGGAGGCAGCCTGCTTGCCTGGTTGGTAGGTCCGCGTGCAGCGGGCGGCGGTGCAGCATGCGGCGGTGCAGCGTACGGTACTGCGAGTGGCGGTGCAGGCGCACCCTCACCCATGGGTAACGAAGTCCCTGGGTGGGGGTGCGCTGGCCTGCGTGGGAGTCAGCCTACCTGCCTGGGTAGGTCCGCGTGCAGCGTGCGGGGGTGCATCGTGCGGCGGTGCAGTGTGCGGCGGTGCAGCGTACGGCGGTGCAGCGTGTGGCGTTGCAGGCGTCCCACCACCCAAAGACCCAAGGACTGCTTAGTCCTTGGGTGGGTGTGCGCTGGCCTGCGTAGGTGGCAGCCTGCCTTCCTGGGTAGGTCCGCGTGCAGCGTGCGGTGGTGCAGTGGTGCAGCGTGCAGAGGTGCAGTATTCGGCGGTGCAGCGTGTGGCGGCGCAGGCGCACCCCCACCCAGGGACTACGTAGTCCTGGGGTGGGGGTGCGCCAGCCTGCGCGGACGGCAGCCTGCCTGCCTAGATAGGTCCGCGTGAAGCGTGCGGCGGTGCAGCGTGTGGCGGTGCTGCTCTCGTTGGTGCAGCGTGCGCTGGTCTGCGCGGAGCGCAGGCTGCCTGCCTAAGTAGCTCCGCGTGACGCGTGCGGCGGTGCAGCGTGCGGCGGTGCAGTGTGCGGCGGTGCAGCGTACGGCGGTGCAGCATATGGCAGAGCAGGCGCCCCCCACCCAGAGACTACGTAGCCCTTGGGTGGGGGTGCGCCGATCTGCGCGGGGTTCGGCCTGCCTGCATGGGTAGGCCCGCGAGAGTTGTGCGGCGGTGCAGCGTGCGGCAGTGCAGCGTGCGGCGGTGCAGATGTGCGCCGGTGCAGCGGTGCAGCGTGCGGCGGTGCAGCGTGCGGCGGTGCAGCGGTGCAGCGTGCGTCGGTGTAGCGTACGGTGGTGCAGCGTGCGTCGGGGCAGCGTACGGTGGTGCATCGTGCGTCGGGGCAGCGTGCGGCGGCGCAGGCGCACCTGGGGGTCCGCCAGGCTGCGGGAGCCGGGATGCGGGATGCAATTCAATGTAATCCCCTTTGCGGGAGACAATACAAACGCGCAGTACTCCTTGCGGGAGACAATACAACGTAGTACTCCCTGCGGAAAACAATTCACTGCAATGCTATGCAAGACTCTCTGCGGGCTATACACCGTGCATAGAGGTCCTCGACGACGCTGCACGAGAACACTCATGATGTGTCAACATCAAAGGGAGCGTGCCTGGCGTTGATGGGTGATGTGATTGCGCATTGTTGTTGGCAGCCTAGACAACCAGCACGGCTCGGCACACGGGCACGGCTCGGCACGCGCATGGCAAGGGCACGGCACGCGACGGCACGGCACGCGGTATATTATTTGCAGTCTAGAAACCGAGCGCAGCACCGCGCGCGCACGTTCACGCGCACGCGCACGACACGGGCACACGCACTGCACAGGACGAGACAGCACGCCCAGCAGAACTCCGCGCTATAGAAATTGAGCACGGCGCGCGGGAGGCACGCGTGCGGCACGGCACTGCCCCGTACGGCGGGCAGACAATGTACATTCCAGAAAGCGAGCACGCCACGGCATAGTTGGCAGACATGTGCAATTTAGAAGCCGACCGCGCTACGGCGCACGCGGGCAGCACGATTCGGCCAGCAGAACATGTGCATCCTGGAGACCGAGCGCAGCACGGCACGGCCAGCAGAACATGTACATCCTAGAAGCCGAGCGCGCCACGGCACGTCACGCCGCCGAGCACTGCGCGGACGGCACAGCTGGCAGACAATTTGCATTCGAGAAGCCGAGCACGGCATGGCACGGCGCGCGGGCGGCACGGCGCGGCATGGCATGGCCAGTAGAAAGTCCGCATTCTAGACACTGAGCACGGCACGGCACGGCACGCGGGCGGCACGTCACGGCTCGGCCAGCAGAACATGTGCATTTCAGAATCCGAGTATGGCACGGCAAGGCACGACACGTGCCGTGCCGTGCCGTTCTGTGCCTTCGTGCCGTGCCCTCGTGCCCTGCAGTTCTTGCGTCTTAGAATCCGCGCCATGTGCGGGCCGCGCGGGCGGCACTTGAGAATCCGAGTACGGCACGGCGCACGCGGGCGGCACGGCACGGCACGGCACGGCACGGCGCGGCACGGCGCGGCGCGGCACGGCACGGCACGGCACGGCACGCTGGGGGCACGGCATGGCGCGGCACGGCGAGCAGAACATTTGCCTCTGCGAAACCAGACGATTCTTAACATAACACGATTCGGTTGCGGCAGAATATGTGTGCATTCCAGAAACAGAGAGCACGGCACGGCACGGCACGGCACGGCAGAACGTTGGCATGGTAGACACCGGAACGCCACGGTGCGGCACGGCACGGGGCACGCGGGCGGCATGGCGCGCCGTGCACGCGCGGCACGGCACGGCACGCCGCGGCACGGCGGGCACAGCGCTGCACGGGGCACGGCGCGGCACGGCACGCGGGCGGCACGGCATGGCGGGCGGCAGAACATTTGCATTCTGCAGGCAGGGCGTGGCCTTGCACGGCACGGCCGGCAGCAAAGGCGCACTGCAAACACCAGGCACAGCACGGTGCGTCACGGCACGCCACATGCGGGCGGCACGGCATGGCCGGCAGAACATGTGTTCCATATGCAAGCCGAACGTGGCACGGCACGGGCCGGCACGCGAGCGGCACGGCAGGGTACAGCCAGCAGAGCACGTACACTCTAGATGGCGAGCACGGCGAGGCACGGCACGCGGGCGGCACGGCACGGCGCGGCACGGCGGGCAGAACATTTGCCTTTCCGAAACCAGACGGTTCTTAACATAACACAATTTGGTTGCGGCATTCGCGTTTGACGGAAACCGTCATGACGCAGACATTCAAATGTCCGCGCGGGTTTCTTAGGTCGGCGCTGGGCCCTCCTGGCGGCGCCTGGCGCGCTCCGCGCGCCCGGGGTCGCGGGGTGGAGTACCGACCCCAAAAACCCGAGCGGACCTGTGAAGGCTCTTCGGCTCTCCCTGTTGCGACCTACGGTAGGCTTGCGCCGCGATGATGCGGCGGCGACCCCAGCGCAGGCGGTCAATATCCAGCTCCGCCACCGTGCCTGGGTAGGGTTGTGGGTTATGAGCCTAGGTGATGTTCGTTGGAACCTTGTGGGAGGCCTCTCGGGGGCCTCCTGGAGGCACTTCTGAGGCCTCTTGGGAGCCATTTTGGGGCCTCTTAGGCCTCTTGTTTGAGGCCTGTTGGGGGCCTCCTTGGGGGCCTCCTTGGGGGCCTCTTGGGGCTTCTTGGGCGCCTCTTGGGGTCTCCTGGGGGCCCCTTGGGGCGGAAGGCTTAGATTTTCGGTTCGTGTTCCCTCTCTGGGGAACCTTTTTGGGCCGTCTTGGAGCCCTCTTGGGCCGTCTTGGGCGCCTCTTGGGCTGTCTGGGAGCGCTCTTAGGCTGTCCTGGGGCCCTCTTGGAGGCCTCTTGGGCCGTTTTGGAGTGTCTTGCGGGCCTCTTGGGCTGTATTGGAGCGTCGGGAAACCGAAAAGGCGAGAACGCTAAAATCCTTCAAAGACGTTTTTGGAAAACCAGCGATTTTGCCTGGGGACCCTCTTGGGAGGCTTCTTGGAGGCCTCTTGGGGCGCCTTGGAAGCCTCCTGCGCCACCTTGAGGCCATCTTGGGCGTCTCCGAGCGATCGTTCGGCGACTCGGGGCCCTCTTGGAACATCTCTGGGGCCTTGTCATGGAAGCTTCGGAGAGCCCCAGGGAGGCGCCATGGCCGCACAGGGACTGGCCGGGAGTAGGGGAGGTGCGCGCGACGCGCCAGAGGAGGGAGGGAGGAGGGGGAGGAGGAGGAGGCGCAGCTGGAGGTGCCAGCGCCGGCGGTGGGTGGGCACCGGTCCCATTTCCTACCAATGTAGGCGGCGGACGGGCGCGCTCGATGGTGTCCGAGGGGGAAGGGGGGGAGGGGGGAGGTGGAAAAGGAGGGAGGAGCAGGTGGAGAAGGAGGGAGTGACGGAGAGTGGAGGAGGAGGAGGAGGAGGAGGAGGAGGAGGAGGAGGAGGAGGAGGAGGAGGAGGAGGAGGAGGAGGAGGAGGAGGAGGAGGAGGAGGAGGAGGGGGAGGGATGGGGGGAAGAGGGAGAAGGGGGAGGGGGAGGTGGGAGGACGAGAGCGGTGGCGACGGGCGATGTGGCGACGGCGGCAGCGACTGCGACGGCGATGGTGGCGGCGGCGGCGGCCGCAACGACGACAGCGGTGCCGTGCCGCGGGGTGCGGCGCCGCCGCGAAG